GCTCTGGCTGACCTCAGAGAAACGTCGCCAAGAGTTCACAGGAACTGCTGAATGCGTTCATGTTGTTTTACGTAAAGCAGGTTCAAACATCTGGTACTGAGTCCATATGCCAAACAGCGAAGCTCTACGTCAATATTTCTTTTAGACCGAAACACGGAGCTTAATATAAGGAAACATGGTCTTAGAAAATGATTTTGGTTAATGACACGGATCGTGAGTTCTTTTTACCCACCCATATTATTCTCTCTCGGACTTGATAGCACTGCAAGGAAGAAAACATTTTTATGTTGTTACAGTAGCAGGATGTTCTAAAGGCAATGTTTTCCTTACTTCAAAGTTACTAGATCAGGAATATATTTTTTCATTGCACTCAACTGGGGAAAATACGGTAATTCCTGTTTCTGTTGTTCAAGGAGATGTCGCAGAGAACTGGACCTTTCGTTTGGAGAGATTCATTTTAAGAAACATAAGACCCCCAGACACAACAAATAGGAAATCCAATGGAGCAGAGTAAAACTCAAAACACAGCACTCCCCCCCACCCGCGGCTCCTCCTCAATAGTCCGCTAGAAGAAGAAATTATCACTGAAGAAAAGAATAAAACGTGATTGAGCGGGATGAATAGTGACTGCGGCAGCTTTGGCATTAATGTGACACATTTCATTAAAAATGACAAAGCCTTTCAAAAATATTTTCTGAGATTAAGTGTTATTATCCTTCCTTAGAGAAGAAGAAAATGAGACACAGAAATGATTGGACCCACGACGAGGAATCGCTACGTGTTACAGCTGAAAACCACAGGCGAGGACGAGAAACCAGATTCTATTTGCTGGGACCCACGTCAGCAACAGGGCGTGGGCGCTGGTGCAACAGCCGCGTTCCCAGGCTCCCTCTCTAGCGAGCTGTGGCCCCGAGAACATGACGAAACCACCTCAGCTCTGCCCGCTGGGCACATGAGGCCAGGACCTGGCCCGCGCCACCAAGGACAGGGGACAGAAGCTGCTGTCTGGGGACATGTGTCGTGAGAGCCGTCACTTACGATCACTGGTCGGCACAGCTGAGCGGGAAGAGGGGCCACGGAGCCGCTGGGGTTTTTCGGACTGTACTAGACACCACCGCTGGGCTCCTAGAAAGGGGCGGGAGGGGCTGTGGGCACTGCCAGAGGAGGGGACAGACCCCCCAACTTCAAGACACCTCCCAGCACCTCTGCAGCCACTCATGAAGTCCCTGACTTGGTGCAGACACAGGCCTGGGAGCCTCCTGAGCTAAGGGCAACCATGACAAGTCGGGGCCTTCAGGTTCCAGAGAGGCCTGCTCCCCTCAGCCACTGGGGCACAGCTCAGAGGCTCCCCACTGCCCTGAGCAGAAGCAGGAGGGAGAAGCCCTGACAAGTGGAATCAGTTAAGATCTGCTGGCACGTTCGTGACACAAAGATTAGAGTGAAAAGATCCTAGCCAGAAACTCGGGGTGGGCTTTTTAGTTTTGGCTCCAGCCTGCTCACCTGTCCTCCTGTGCGCTCACCTGTTCCCTAGTGCGCTCACCTGTTCTTCAGCATGCTCGCTCACCTGTTCCCTAGTGCGCTCACCTGTTCTTCAGCATGCTCACCTGTCCTCCAGGCACTCCCTGTCCTCCAGGGTGCTCACTTGTCCTCCAGGACACTCACCTGTCCGCTAGGGCACTCTCCTGTCCTCTAGGGTGTGCACTTGTCCTCTAAGATGCTCACCTGTGGGTGCTCACCTGTCCTCCAGGATGTTCACCTATCATCCAGGGCGCTCAGCTGTCCTCTAAGATGCTCACCTGTCCTCCAGGATGCTCACCTGTCCTCCAGGGCTCTCACCTGTCCTCCAGGGCTCTCACCTGTCCTCCAGGGCGCTCACCCGTCCTCCAGGACTCTCACCCATCCTCCAGGATGCTCACCCGTCCTCCAGGGTGATCACCCATCCCCCAGGGCTCTCACCTGTCCTCCAGGGTGCTCACCTGTCCTCCAGGGTGCTCACCTGTCCTCCAGGGCTCTCACCTGTCCTCCAGGGTGCTCACCTGTCCTCCAAGGTGCTCACCTGTCCTCCAGCACATGGCACCACCCACACTGTCCTTGAGCTTTAATTGAGCCCCTATGGGGGAAAGTATCGTTTAAATATAACAATATAGTCAGAACCCTAAAATAACCTGATCTATAATAAATGCTTAAGCAAGGGAGGGAGGCCAGCCTGGGGGCCGGGGAGGGACAGATTGTCAGGAATGAGTCACGTTCACAAGAAGTTGGAGCTCGGTCCCCAGAGACCTTAAAAATAACCAGGCAGCCCTGCCAGCTCCCTGCACCTTGTCATTGGAGAGGGACACTATGGTCTCCTCAGGCTTGATTAAATCAAATTGTTTTAAAAGTGGGCGGAGATGGCAGGGAGAGGCCCCAGATGAGGGGAAGTCAGTTCGAGAAACGCCTGGGGCGGTGGAATCGGTGCGTTATATACAATGTGACCTCTTGGGTTTTTACACTTGATTCAAGTGTTATTTTTACATATGATTCAGACCACCGCGAAGGGGGCTGATGCTAACTGAAAACAAAAGTCTCAGTGACAGTCAGACAGAGAGTCCATTTCATAATAATAAGCAACAAATAATCTAAAAGTGAGGCCTGGAATCCGGGACAGATTTTGCTGTACAGACTTTGCTCTATGAACTGAGTCTATGTGGGAACCATGAGTCACTGATGCGAAATGGGGTCCTCTGGCGAGAGGGGTTTCTGGTTCTGAGCTGTCCAGACCTAAAGACCGCCTGATGTTGCAGGGAGGCACCGTGGGTTTGCTCTCCCTTTCTAAGAATGCCCTGCAGAGGCAGGCGCCCTTTGTCAAATCTTTTTACCCAGCTCCTTGGCCAGTGTCTGGGCGAGAGCCTGGTTTACCTCAGGCGCAGGTCCCTGCACAGGCTGTAGGGAGAGCTGTTCTCCCTGAAGTCAGGGGGGTGGACTTTGCTCTCTGGCCTGCTGGAAGGCTCTGCTTCCTGCTGGGATCTACATGTTCGTTTTTTTAATTTTTACATGGTTGTTCATTTTTGTACAATGTTTGATTTCTCCTCTCAGGTATTGTACATAAAATTCCCACCGCCAAGACACCCGTGAACCATCACCACAGACTCCTGTGATCTTCCCTCCGATTGCGATCCCTTTCCCTCCACGCAACCAAAACGAGATAAAGAATCCAGTCAACAATGTGGGCAGAAGAGCTAAAAAGACACTTCTCCAAAGAGGAAATGCAGATGAGCAACAGGCACATGAGAAAATGCTCCACTGTCACTTACCAGGGAAATGCAAATCAAAACCACAATGAGTTCCCACCTCGTGCTGGTGAGAACGGCTCCTATTAAAAAAACTGGCAACAACAAATGCTGCCGAAGATGCGGAGAGAGTGGAGCTTCATAACTGCTGGTGGGAAGGCACAGTGGTCCAGGCCTCATCAGAGTCCTGGTCACACATCAAGGCTGCCCCGGGACAAGGACAGCAGGTGCTCAACCGTGGACCCTCCTGGCCATGAAATAACCCAGGTTTCGGGGCTCAAGGCCTGGCCTCGTCTGGGGCATTCACTCTATTCATCACAAATCCTTCCACATCTGAGCACAGGCTGATTAGAGATTCCTGTTCCTAGCCAACCTCAGCTCGCTAAACTCCCCTGGAAAGCATGTGTACCTACAACAGGTAAGTAACTTCCGAAACAATTTCCCCACCCATTGGGAAGCTGATTATTTAAGTTTTAGCATATACTTACATAACCTTTCTTTGAATATCACTTCTAAAAATGTAGACATAAAACCATGACTGAATGGATTTGTTGGACCTTGACCGAAAATGCAAGTCAGTATCATCGTGTGAACTTTCTGGAATCCCCCGCCCCCGTCTAGCAGACAAGAGCAAAGCCCTCCCACCAGTTTAAGTGCAAGCCCTGCCACCCAGCAATGCAGGATTCTGCTGCTGCAGACAGACCAGGCTTCCCACTGCTGCTAACAGCCAAAGGCCCAGATAAGAAGGTGTAAGCAAGGGTGCCAGGCTCTCCTGTCCACAGACATTCTTTAACCATCAGGAAAGCCCTAAACCTATCCTGTGCCCTCCTCTGCACCTATCAGCACCCACACTTCTCTAGGGAACACAGCTCAGGGGTTCAGAGATCGAAATCTATAGAAATTAAAGGAAATCTACACATAATAAAGTTAACATCTTTCAAAAAACAGTTTTCAGACTAAAGGGTACACTCGAATGCACCTGATTTCCCTCATCCTAATTCAAATAATTTTCTGAAAACCAAACTGTGTCCAGTTAAGCGTTTCCAGGACCTGGAAGGTGCCAGCTTTACTTTCTCGTGCCTGCAGGAGGCAGTCACAATGAGGCAAGCTTATACCTGTGCAGCTACGGGATCTGAGTTGGTTTCTGTTAGTGAGAAGCCAGGAGACACCCAAGGACTCCAGGTGCCCAGGCTGAGCTTGCAGGAGGCGCTGGTGACCCCTGCTCACATGGATGTGATTTTTTCAGTCGTCAGACCATGGATTAGAAAATAAAACCTGGAGGGCGTCTCTGGTGGCGCAGGGGTTAAGGCTCAGCACTACGAAGCTATTGGCACCACTGCAGCAGGAGTTCAATCCCTGGCCAGGGAGCTACCCACATGGCGCAGCAGACCTCTCGTCTCCCCGCTGCTCCCCTCAGCAGTGTGTTTCAGTGGATCCGCCTGTTCTGCTCCCCACTCTCTTTGGTGAGTCCTTTCACCCCCTGCACCTCTTATATGCATAAATAAATAAATCTTTAGAAAATGAAAGGAAAACCTGAAGAGTGCAGGGAACTTTAAATCATCCTTATGCCATTGGCCAACAATACAACTTCAATTTGGCCAAAGCTATTTCCAGAAATGCAAATTGAGGGCTGACTTGTAAACTATGAATCTGAAATAGGCGCTTACTAGGATTCAAAGACCCAGAGCAGATCCATCCAGGCCTGGTCCCCTAGGACCAACACCACCCCTGAGAACCGCCCGTTCACCTCAAGTTGAAGGCCAGCCTTGCCTTGACTACATTGCCGCAGTGTAACTGTGACCAAAGCCATTTGTGTTACTCAAAACAAAGGAAAAATGCCAAGTTGTTTCTCCCATCCAACCTTTCTTTGGAGAGAGACTCGGAAAGAACAAACGTATTTCTCATTCCTTATTGATCGTGGCTTCTCCTGGTTATGGATAACAATTATATAAATTTGACAAGGTTCATCCCTTTTAGCTTGAGCCATTAAAAAATCAATTAGTCTCTGTTTTGTAGAACTATTATCTGTATATACTATTGGATTGTTCTTTCTCGTAAGCGTGTTTATGCCTTCTACCGCAGAATGTTGAGAATTTAATTACCTCCCCAAAAATTACTAAATCTTCACAAGTATTTTACAAAATGTCATTCTTTACTTAATAAAGGGCCAGCCCCATATTTCATGAGTTTCCATTCATCTGACAGAGCGCTGGTGTTTGTAATTGTGTCTATAAAGTCATCCGTCTTCTAGAACCATCTTTAGCTGAGCGAGCCCCAAAGCGTGGTCCATTCTGCTCAGATCTGATCAGCATCTTTATAGCTTATCAGCCTTGGGGTTCAATTTTGTTTTGGATGCTTTTATAAATGAGCACAATCAGTGTTGAATCTGTTCTCCCAGATTGCAAAGAGAAAAATCGAGAGAGGAACTTTAGTAGATTACTGTGTCATCGAGAATAAAGTACAAGCACAAACACCTAACACAATCCTGGGGATGATTTTGTTGGGTGTACATTTTCAGCTTTATTTCAGTAAAATTAGATGATTGCCTTGGTTATGACTGTTTTCGAAGTTACGCTCTTAGCCAAGGCTAGCTGTTTGATCAATTATCTAAAAAATCAATTTGTGAGGGTAGTATTTTTTTTCTTAAAAGGAAGGAAAGAGAAGTAGCAATAGATAGAAAGTATGAGAATGATTTCAGATCTTTTTTTCTTCGGAACAGGCATATGATGCCTGTTATACTTTTTAGTGGCTCCATAGAATAGGACAGCCAAGGCAGCTATAGAAATAGCAGCAGCCAAGAGGAAATCACACTCATTTTAATGACTTTTACACTTATAAAATTTCTCCAGAAAAGAGCTCATAATACCACTCACCTCCCTGGGTGGCTTTTAAGCCAGAGGAACAATGAAAGTGTAATGTCCGGAGATAAGTTTCATTTCTTACATACGTTTATGGCCACCTTTCCCTCCAGCCAATGTGGATCAAAGAAAATGTTGTATCACTTAGTATTTTAATAGAAGAAATAAAATTTCCAAAGGTCAGGATAGGAACTCTGCGAGAATATGTTTTGAGCGTGTTAAGCTTCAGAGATACCAAGAGGTTGTCCAGGAAATCCCAGTAGCTACCCAAGGACACCATCCCTCCGGAAATCCAGAAGGTAAGCAATGTCACAAGTTCCTCGGTTGTTCCAAGTTATCTCCATGTGTGAGACGTTGCTTCTGGCCCCAGGAACAAACTCAGACCTGGAGGAGGGGGAGGAGGGGGGAGAGAAGAGAAACAACAATTGCACAAATAACCTTCCTTTCAAAATTCATGCCAACCAAAATATCAAACCACACAAGGAAGACCTCTAGTGCTCAGGATGTGAGCAAATTAACCAGTATGTGAAGACAAGAATTCACCCTGAAAAAAATTAATATTTGCAGTCAAACAAAGACATTCATAGGAGTCATATTTAGGAGAGCTGGCGAGATGAAAGACGTATTAACATTCCTTTAAGAGATAAAAGATAGGATGGAGTAAAAAAAATGTAGGGAGAAACAGATGTGTATGAAAGCAGAAGTTTTAAAATGAAAAGATAAAAGTTTCAGGCAACGGAGATCTGAAGGTTAAAGGATCCAGTGGTGAGCTGAGCACTGGCCTGCACTCGGGAGAGACTGCAGAGAGCAGTGGAAGGAGCTGGCTCGCTTATGGCACCAGCAGACAGGCCAACAAATTTGGAGAAATCTGAGGCGATCATAGATGATAATAATCCAGAGTAAAAGAATAACATTAGCTCTGAAATCTGAAGTGCACTGAGAGTGTCAAGGAGAATGAGTGAATATAATTCCACTCCTAGAAATATTGTAGGGAAACCATGAAAAATCAGAGAGAAGACAAACCTTAAATGAGAGAAAAGATAAACTACAATGAAATGGCCATTTGGCTCCTGCTAGCAAGAGCAGATGCAGAATGGCCTGGAATAGGACTTTGCAGCGCTGACAGGAAGCACTGGTCAGAGGGGGCTTCTAGCTCGGCCTTATTCAAGAGAGTCAATACAGACCTAAGAGGAAAGCTGTCATCCCAGAGCCAAACCTCTGGAGGATGCACAGAGGAACAGGTGAAGGCAGAGAGCAGAGGACTCATCCCCAGACAGCCGAGCGCTTGCCTGAAAACATCCTTGGAAAAGCAACCGTGACGTCTGCTTACACCTTTTAATTAAAAAGGGAAAATGCCAAATAGCAACAAAAATGCAGGAAAGGACAGTCAAGAATCCTGAGAGATGATTAAAATTTCTTGTATGAGAGATGATTAAAATCATTGAATCATTTTGGAATTTGTTAAAAAGTTTTACAGGTAAGAGTGTGTGCTCAAAAAGAAGGCTGGACTGTAGACATAAACAAAAAATGAAAATAAAAATAATGTAATTGCAAAGCTTTACACAATTACAGGAGGGGTGAAAGAAAATGAAGCAAGTTTTATCAAACCCACGCAAGTGAAAACAAAGGAGGGTGAAAGAAGCAAAGAAAATGTAAGTGGGAAGAATCCAGAGTCACCAGTAATCAGGATTATTGTGAGCAAGAAACCCAGCTCCTACCAGATGAGCACACGGGATTAAATATTTACAATCCAAATTAAAATAAAATGAAAAAGAAAGACTAAAAAAAGATTTACAGGCAAATCTTAATTCCAATTAGCTATAACTATTAACTAATTCTAATATAATTTGTAACTATATTATAAAATCACAGAAGCATAAATTAATGACAAGAAAACGATAATGCGAAATAAGTCATGCTCATTTAACATTATTTTGATACATGTAAGACACTGTTGGGGGGGAAATCACAAATCGAAATCACAGTAATTCTGATACACTTTTCTCAGAAGTAGAGAAAAATGTGGAGTAAAATATCTGTAAAATAAAATTATGAATATTGATAACAATTGGTCTGTGATTAAAATATATATATATATATAATTTATAATTAAATAAATTCTGATCTAACCAGAAAAATAAGCATTATTTTCAAGTTCACAGGTTCGGTTTTCAAAGCTTACAGAGCACAGGACCAGACAGGTTATGAATTAAGACATAAATCCAGAAATCCATATCATAAAAAGCATATTCTCTGACAAAGAAACAAAATAGAATTTAGCAATGGAAAAAAAAAAACTTCCCCATATATTTGGAAATTGAAACAGGCTTGTTTAAACAACTCATTAGCTTAAAAAGAAAATAACAATGGAAACTGTAAAACATTTCACAGTTGAAATAAAACCAAACAGTGAAAATGCTTGTTACCAAACCACAAAATTCCACTAAAGAGGCACCTACTGGTGTATTTATAACTTCTTTTAAAAAAAGCATTTATTTAAAAGTGGAAAAAAGAATGAGAAGTCAGAATAAAGAGTGAGGGGGAAAAGTAATAAAAATTTTCCATTCAAAAACCAGAGAGAGAATAGTAAGGTAAAACTGAAAATCTTAGGGAAAAAAATCATAAATACCATGTAAAAGCCATCGGGGCGCCCACAGCCACCGAGCGGGCGGGGAGGGGCGAAGGCCCGGGACCGGCAGGGTCGGGGTCAGCCACTGCGTGGCCATCGTGGCCCATCACGATCTGGACTGACCTCAAAAAACAAAAAATGGAAATGCGGACCCACCTGTGCCAGCCTCGGGCATCTGCGCAAGGTTATGAATCCACCGGCTCCGAACACCATCGCTCTGGGGTGCTGAGGGCGCCCTGTGCACACCAGCCGGATGCGGACACAGCCTGGTGTCCACCAGGAAAGCAGACCTGCAGATGGCCATCCACCCCACAGGGCACCTGCAGCCACGAGGAGGATGCAGTGTTGGCGCTTCCAGAAGAGGAAGGTGCTAGGGAAGGGTGAGCCGGCCAGAGCGACGGATGCCGGGTGTCCACACAGCTGACCATCTGTGCAGCAAAATACCTGTAAAAACAGCAGACGCTACTACACAAAGGGGGGCTGCTAAGGCTGCGAGCGAGGGGAGGAGGGGGGAAGGGACCCCGGGGAAGGAGGGGCAGTGGGGATGGGGGGGGGCGCATTTCAAAAGCAAACGCAAACTCTCAAAAATAAACTCAAGGGCACAGAAACCTTGCAAGCAGGAACCATCCACGCCACCACCAGCTGCCTCAGAGGAACCTGATGGGACAAAGAAAGCCCAGAAGACCCCAGTCCCCCCTGACGTGAGACCAGAACCGCAAACTCCGCAAAGCATCTGAGCGTGGTTCCGACCCCCGCGCGCGCGGCGCACGCACCTCAGCCCGCAGCACACGCCTCGGAATCCAAACTGCTTTCACAACTGCACAGTGGTTTCCAAGGGCCTCATTTGCGCCCTGACCTGAGTGCTTTTGTTGGGCGAATTCCCTGGTATTTAGCGTTTATAGTGTTTATTTTGTTAATGTGATTTCAATCGAGAGCTCTGACATAGCTACAACCCAGATGGTTCTTCATGGACTCAAAATGATGGAAATCATAACGTATGGAACATTTTAATTGCGAAAAGCCCATCTTTGAAGCTAGTGATTGGCCCTGAAAATGTCAGCGCCCTCCTGGTTTGGGAACTAACAGTGAATATTAACTAAAATACTTTTTAAAGTCCAAGCGCACGGCGGAGTTGGCGACTGCATGCTGTGTGGTGGTGTGTTCTGACAGCGAAGAGCAGCGCTTTTCTGGTGCCTTCTCCATAAACGGGCAAACAACAGCACTCACTGCTCTGGACATTTCCAGTTGGGGACGCCGGATCTTCCCAGGCTGGGTCATGACCAAGCGCAGGAGTCAAACCCAGCGTGCCCTCCAGAGCGGTCACCGGGAGGCGCAGGTCCGCCCTGACACGAGGCTCCCAGGCAGACCTGGACCCGACCCCACACAGGCAAACAGGGTGGGACCCCTGACCCACAGCACACCCTAAGACCAGCCACCTTCCCCATCTCCTCCTCAGACCCAGGCTGCCACCCTGGGGGGAACCACCAGCAGCAGCGCCAACCTCTGTGGAATTCGAAAGCCCCCCCAAGTAGTGGCTTGGGTGCCAGGAGAAATTAGCATTACTTTATTGACACCTGTCAATAAAACAGGTTTCTTTTCTGCCAGCTGCTCAAAGTAGGCCTGTGGGCATCGCAGGGACACCCCCACCACTGCAAACAGCGCTCTCCACCTGCCGCTGCTGGCGGAAATGCACCTGGAGTCCCTCAGAAGCCGCTGACCAGCCTCCTGACCAGCCTCCTGTTCCCACACTCTCCAGGGCTGAGAGCCCCCAACCCCAGCAGGGGGACCCACAGGGCTCCGTAGCCCCCCACTGCGGGAGCCACTGCCCAGCTAGTGGGCATCATGGCTCCATCTTCCACTGGAGGTGATTATGGAAGACCTGAGACAAGAAACAGAAAACAAGTCAGTGTTTCAGCCTTGGAGTGACTCTTCTTACAACGCCGCCAGTAGGGTCAACCAGCAGGGGGATCCCCAGAGACTGACTCTGAGCGCTCAGAGGCTAGCCATGCATCTAAAGGGGAGGTGGGGGCCTCCCTCCCTGGGGGTGCAAGAGGTTAAGTCTCTGCACTATGAAGCTATCGGCAGCCACTGCAGCATGAGTTCCATCCCCAGCCAGGGAGCTACCCACATGGCACAGCAGACCTCTCCTGTCTCGCCCGCTGCTCCCCTCAGCAGTGTATTTCAGTAGATCTACCTGTTCTGCTCCCCACTCTGTCTCTGGTGAATCCTCTCACCCCCGCACCTCTGGCCTGTACCCCAGTTCTTGAATGCATAAATAAATATATCTTTAAAAAAAAAAAAAAAAAGGGAGTCAAATCCATACCACACGGCTCCACTAAATCCTCCTATGTGTGAGATGGAGCCCAGGAGCAAGATGGTTTCCAAACAAGGAGTGTGGGAAGCAAGTGTCAGCTCCAGAAACGCTTTCCTCTTCCAGAAACGCTTTCCTCTCAGCTTTGCTGATACTCCCCCAACTCCTCCTGGGCTGGGCCAGCGCCTCAGCCCTGGGGACTCACTGAAGGGATTTAGTGGACTTTTCCAGATGAAGACAGGTCATCGAATGGCCTTGGCCTCTCCCTGTCCTGTTAGCAAAGACCTAGCGGTTCTCAACACTGGCCTCTGCTCCGTGGGCAGCCAGGTTGATGTCCACTCACCCATTATCTCTGGTGAGTGCTTTATCTGCCCACCCCTTCTGGTCCCTCCGCCATTGTTACAGACGCCATCAATTATTTCAGTCAAGCAAACACACTGCCAACTTTCCAGAATCCCTGGCCTGATTTTAACTACCAGCTTGGGGTTCTATTCAGTACGAGCATAAAAGTTATTATATTCTAATTGCTTGGGATTGTTACTACATTGAGATTTATTTTTGTTGGTTATTTCAAGAGACTGTTAAAATGAGTTTAGTGACTTCACTCTGGTTTTCCTGATTGATTCTATTATTAGCCGGTGGAGGCCTGGGGCCTTTTGGCCTTGCTAAACATCTTGAACAATTTTTTAAACAGTTTGGGTTTGGCAAAACCTATTTTGCCAAGAACATTACCCCTTAATTTTTAAAAACCATGTGCATTTTAAGGAAAATGTAACCCACATGTTCCTGATCCCTCTAAACTAAACACATCAAAATGTTTCATAACAGCCTCTTGATTTCCAAGAAGCTGCCTAAGCCTTCCTTATAAGATCTTTTAAGTTATTTTCTTTTAAAACAGGAAGTTACTTCTGCCAAGGATAAAGTTCTGTAGACACCAACCTTTTCAAGAAACTCGTAAATGAGCTGGACATATTTTATGTTACTCTGGGATATAGGAACTCAGTCGAAAAGTTGCAAAACACTAAAAGCAAAAACTGAAAGAGGAGAGAAAACCCATTCCGATAAAGAAACATTTTTAAATATGTGTATTTAAATATGTGACTCCTCCTTCCTGGAATACCTGGGTGTAGACATTGGGCAGGAACACCTGTTTCAAAGGAGTTTACTGAAAGCAAGCAAAATGGTTTGGTTTTTTTCAATTCTAGAGATAAGATCCTAGAATCTTACTTGAGTGTGTTCAACATGATCCAAATTAACTTCCCCCAAGGGATTTGGACACCTTCATCCAGTTGATTATTACTACTAGGGAAGTCGGCCAAGACGAGGGGGACGACAGTCGGAAGAGCCGAGCCTGGGGGCAGCAGAGCCACGTGAGACTGACCCCAGAAACAGGCCTGAGTCTGTTACTCGCCTTATGATGGAAGAGGGTCCCGGAACAAATGGGCACAATGGGTTGCCTGGGCAATCTCTAAAACAGCAAGTGACAGGGCTGTCTGGAAGGCTCCATGACATCAGCCTCATCCTCTAAATCCCAAACAACACAAGACACGTCCCAGGGACCCCCCTGTTGTCAGTCACCAATGACATACTTGTTCTCACGAGATGACCCGAGCAGACGTGTCACCACTGTCTTGGAGCCACCAATTGGGTGCAGGAGTCCAAAATTTTTTGTGAACATTTTCTTCCATTGCAGCTTCCGGTTAGGGCGTGGATTTGGAGAAGGGCTGCCTGCTGATCAATGGGAGTGGAGATGGCCACCCCTTACTACTGCCACTTCACATGTGCTGTGATTGGCTAAAGGAGAGAAGGTGAAGGGGGGGGGAGGAAGGGTGAGGGGAGAGAGGGGGAGGAGCTAGGCAGGGAAGGAAAGTAATTCACAATCCACATGAATTACCACAAAATCTGCATGAACCACCTTACAATCTACATGAATTACCTCACACCCTACACAGATTACCTCACACTCGACACAATTTACCTCACACTCTACACAATTTACCTCACACTCTACACAAATCACCTCACACTCTACACAAATCACCTCACACTCTACACAAATCACCTCACACTCTACACAAATCACCTCACACTCTACACAAATCACCTCACACTCTACACAAATCACCTCACACTCTACACAAATCACCTCACCACAAACGGAAGCTTGGAGGCATGAATGTGTCCGAAGTTGTGCAGCTACTTAAACAAAATTTATACATCTCCACAACTAAGAGGATTGCTCCAATTCCATAGAGGAAGATTAATTCTATCTTCTGAATTATCAAGAACATATTATTTGAACCACTACTTTTACCCTTATCAATACCCACCTAGATTGGCAATCATTGTGAATCCAATCAGCTGTAGAAGCTGATGAAAGCTATGAGCAACTGCCTCATAAAATTGCTGTCCACCAGCTGTCTCTACAATTTGGGGAGCAGGGAGGTTTTCTGTAGCCTCCTTGTAGCCTTGGGACCCATGTACCCCAGAGAACCACTGACCCCAGGATCAAAAGACACCTGAGGGCCTCCCCGGTGGCACAACGGTTGAGCACTGGGTTGCGAAGCTGCCCACAGCCTCTGCGGCGCCGGTTCGATCCCCGGCTGTTCCCCGGCCACCGGAGGAGGGTCCCACATGGCACGCAGACCTCTCCTGCCACCCGCTGCTCCCCTCAGCAGTGTACTTCGGTCCTTCTGCCTGCTCTGCTCCCCGCTCTGGCTCTGGTGAATTCTCTCACCCTCCCGCGCTTCTGACTGTACCCAGTGCTTGTATAAATAAATAAATAAATCTTTAAAAAAAAAAAAAAAGACACCTGAGTCTCTCTTCCTTCCCATCTTCCACAAGTGTGTCTTGCACACTTTGCTTCTCAAGAAATATGGGAACTTAAAAGAGAAAGACACTTGCGATAAATTTTGAAACCTTTACTGTCCAGGAGGCTGTAAATATGGTTTACCAGAGAGCTTGCTTTTATTATCATATTCTTGAAGACATAAAAGCCAGGGAGGAGACAGCTATATCGTGTGCTCACTGAGCCTTGACGTGGTGAGCACCCTGGGAGCAAACACTTCTTTATGGTACTGTTTTGTCTTACGGTATCAAGCCTCACGACTCCAGAAGACCCAGGCATGTGAATGGTGATTGTTTCATGTTGCTGCTATTTAGGGAGGTGTTCAAGTGGTCTTCAGCAGACGTTTTTTTAAAAAAAAAGAAAAAAAAGATTTATTCATTTATTTATGCAAGAACCGGGGTACAGGCCAGATGCGCTGGAGGGTGAGAGGATCCACCAGAGACAGAGTGGGGAACAGAACAGGCAGATTGACGAAATACAATGCTGAGGGGAGCAGCGGGCGAGACAGGAGAGGTCTGCCACGCCATGTGGGACCCTCGCCAGCCAGCATCGAACCAGCGCTGCAGAGGCTGTGGACAGTCTCACAGGGCTGCTCTCAACCCACTGCGCCACCGGGGAGGCCCCTCAGCACACTTTTTGGGAGAAAATAGTCTTTCTTGTGTAAGGGAGCAAATATCTGTCACCCCAAAATGTGCCATTTTGGTGAAAGGCTAGTTTAATAGGAAGGGCTGGAGGTGGCTTTTGAAAAAGATATTTACATATTGGACCTCCCTGGTGGCCTAGGGGTTAAGTTTCAGTTCTACCACCATGAAGGCCTGAGTTCGATCCCCGGCCAGGGAGCTGACCCACAGGGCGCCACAGACCTCTCCTGTCTCCCCGCTGCTCCCCTCGGCAGTGGATTTCAGTGGATCCGCCTGTTCTGCTCCCCACTCTGTCGCTGGGGAACCCTCTCACCCCCACACCTCTGGACTGTACCCCAGCTCTTGCAGGCATAAATAAATAAATCTTTAAAAAAATAATAAAAACAACTTGGCAGACCAAAAGTTGAGAGTCTTCAAACTACACTCCTTTGGTAAAAATTGGCATCAATGTGAGGATTTTAATCTTGGTATGAAATTCACGTCATTATTTAAGTTTATGTTTTCCTCCCTAAAAGCTTTCAATTCTAAACGTTCTCTTTACTGTGAGATTTGTGGCAGAAGTATCTCTGCTCTGCCCCTCATGCCTAGTTCTGAACTTTATAGTCTTGTGCCTGGGTTTTCAGCGTGGTTTCTCCTCAGAACTCTCTGACCGTCAGCAGGCAAGGACGGGCGGGATTTATTGTCCTGATGATTAAATCTGATCATGTCCTTCTGTTGCTTCAAAATTGCTCTTGGCTCCTCACTGCTTACGGAATGAGACCCAAATTCCCTTTTTTTTCGCCTTTCTTCTCCAAAGGTCCTTCCAATCTAGTCCTCTGGTAAGTATTTCTCTGCCAACTCTACCCACTCTCTTGCCCACTTCCTTCACGTCACCAACACGCCTCTGAATTCCAGGTGCACGAACATTCTCACCATTTTCCTGAGCACTTCGAGACCTAGCATGATAATAAGCAAGCTCTCTCTGCGCTGTTTTTTCTCAGATCCCCCAGCGGGAACCACCTGCTCACCTTTTAAGACTAAGATCAAATGTCTCTCTTGTAAGAAGGTTTTCCCCTGACCTTCCTCTAGCCTTGGCATTTCCATCCCATTTTCCGTGAACTCCACTAAACTGGTGCCACGGAAAGTTTTGAGTGTGACATCTGCCTCGCCCACAAGATTGTGGCGCCCGCAAGGGGAAAATACGTTTCACCACCTTTGCACACCCAGCACCAGCCCTGATTGGCACAGCTCATTAGCTCACAAATTGTTTGAATAATCAATGAATAATACAGCAGAGTGGATGTGAACACGGTTGCTCAGTGACTAATCAATGTGCACGTCAGAAGTGAATAAAGCATCGGACATTTCCAAACTTATTTGCCTATTTAGACATACAGGAAGGAGCCGATGAAAAGTCGAATTTACTTGAATTATCTATTCTTGACACAAGGCTGAAGTAACACGTCAATTTCTAGAATTATTTTTTTATTCTGGGAGGAAAGTGACTAGGATTTTCACAATCATACATGCCATTTAGAAAATAAACTACTCAGAAGGTAAGAGGAACTACGGTCGCTGACTGTAGAAGTGAAATGAACAGGCCCCGTAACCTGCAGTTAGACAGGCAGCTCCCGGAAACCGTGGTTACCTTCCTGCTGGATATTTATTGTGCCTTATTTTCTGAAAGAAACAGATTCCCTGCAAAATTGACATGGTGCCCGTGTGTGCCTGGGGTGCTTCTCTCTGCCCCCAGAATTGGCCCCTGATCCCTGAACTATCAGATTTTACCTGAATGAGGCATCTGGCTGCGTCAGGCTGAACTGTCACTAGTGCTGTCGAAACTCAAACACACATCGCAGTAGACATTAAATCCATGGCACTGGCAAAAAAATGTAGGCCTGTCAGAGGCTGGAAATAAGATTCCCATGGCAGGAGGTGGCAAAATACTTGGGAGCCCTGGGGCTGGTGGTGGTGTGGGGGCAGCCACTGGCCATCCTAGCCTGAGGCCCCAGGAAGAGAGTGGGAAGCAGAGCTTACACCAGCGGCCACTGCCTGCTTCACGTGACAAGTTACTAGACGAAAATGTGCTCCCAGGAAAGACCCAGCCACTGTCCACATAACGGTGAAAAGGCAGAAGGAAGCCCCAGCCACTTTCATGGAAACGCTGGGAATGCCTGTCCCCAACATCAGAGAGTCAGACTCACTGTCGTGGAACAACGAAGGGTCTGAGCTCCGACGCGTCCCAGCGAGTCAGGCTTCCATCCAAGGCCCCATGGTAGATGTCACTGAGGAAAGAAAGAAATGGTGAGCAAGAGGAAATGAAGCAGATTTAAGGGTCGTGTCTCAGAAAGAACTGGAGGGGAGGCTGCTGGCATATGGCCCGACAGCGGGGAGGCGAAAGGCCTCCTCAAGGGAAAGAAACGCTATTGTCCAAACAACTGAGGGTTAATACTTAAAGCCCTGGCTGAGCAGTCAAACCACTCTTAGGCCACCAGCCACAGGCAGGCAGGCAGGAAGCCGTCAAGAGGTCGAGGGCCGGGGCAGAGACAGGAGAAGCAGGCACATCTCTGAGAGCAGACCCAGAGCCACAGAGCCGCGGGCAAGCCAGCTCTGCCCAGAGGCAGAATCGTGGGGCTCACGGAATGTCCCTCTGGGCCAGGACCCCACTGGGCTCTCCTACCCACACAGGGACAGGTCTGGGAGCAGCTCTGCCTCCTGAATGTGGGCGATTATTCATTCTGTCCACCGTGCTTGTCAGCTGGAGTGGGAGAGGCAGAACCTTGCCAGATACTCATTGGCAATCTTTGCGCATTCAGAGATTCAGTAACGCCTGACGTCTCATACAGAGAGATGCATTTGTGGGTGCGCATGTTTATCCTCAGCTTCTTCTCCAACTCACTCAACAATTTTGCTTTTCTGTCTCAGTGACATCTGATGTCTTAAGCACCTGCCGTATTTTCCCTTCCTCCTTGGTGCTCACACCTCCTTGGTGCTCCTGAGCAGGGGCTACTCCCCAGCACCCTCAGGCTGCTCCTCAGAGGGTGCTACTCTCCAGTACCCTCAGGCTGCTCCTCAGAGGGTGCTACTCCCAGCACCCTCAGGCTGCTCCTCAGGGAGTGCTACTCCCAGCACCCTCAGGCTGCTCCTCAGGGGGTGCTACTCTCCAGCACCCTCAGGCTGCTCCTCAGGGAGTACTGCTCCCCAGAATCCTCAGGCTGCTCCTCAGGGGGTGCTACTCCCTGGCACCCTCAGGCTATTCCTCAAGGGGTGCTACTCCCCAGAAATCTCAGACAGCTCCTCAAGGGGTGCTACTCCCAGCACTCTCAGGCTGTTTCATATTCCATAAAGACAGGCTCCATGGGCCAAAGGAGCCCTAAGTCCTGCTCTGCGGGGCCACTCTGAGCTCTCCCCATCAAGACCAGGAGCTTCCCATGGTCACCTCTCCCCCCAAGTGACTCACCATCAGACCAAGGGCTGGAAAGAGGCCCTGTGCTAGCCTCGGGGTTGCCCTCCTGGGATGTCACTCCTGGGATCCCTCTCCTGGGGTCCCTCTACTCGACCCCACTACATCTTTGTCAGCAGCCTCTTCATTACAGACTTGATTCATTCTCAGGGGAGAGCCATCTCCTTCCTCTCAGGATCCTGGCTGATGCTTCGTGCTAGTTTCCTATCCATAGAAGGTCTCATGAAAACACGGGGTTCTCCCTGCAGCTCCCTGGGCTCCAGGTACGCCACCTTGCCGACACCGAGGAAGGGGCAGCGAGACAGACCTCAGTTCACTGTCACTTCAATGTGCTTCTCTCCAGCCAGCTCCTACCCCAACAACACAGCCTTTACCCGTCTGAGAGCGCCCTGAGCCACAACCCAGGCTGTCTCCCTGCCCAACCCGGCCCATTTCCAGAACAGTCCAGGTGCTTCAGTGCTCCGTGGAAATCCTCAGAAGTAGGATCATTGGCGTTATTTCTTCCTCCTTCCCACCACCTCCCTGCACTCTTCCCAGTTGAGTTGGTCTTTGCTCAATGTTTTGAAAGAAAGATCTCCATAAGAAGTAATAATAATTGGAGCATCCCTGGTGGCACAAGGGGTTAATCTGCAGCACTATGAAGCTATCCGCAGCCACTGCGGCACAAGTTCGATCCCTAGCCAGGGAGCTACCCACATGGCGCAGCAGATCCCTGCTGTCTCCCCGCTGCTCCCCTCAGCAGTGGATTTTGGTCAATCCACCTGCTCTGCTCCCCACTCTGTCTCCGGTGAGCCCTCTCACCCCCAGCATCTCTTATCTACACCCCAGCTCTTGTAGCATAAATAAATAAAATAAATCTTTTTAAAAAAAAAAGTAATAGTAATTGATGCCTCATTCAGAAGGCTGGATCTTGCTAGGAGCTGAAGTTGCTTTGCCTCGTCCATTAAAAAGAGGGCAACTGACTCAGTCAGAATAAGAGGTGAACAGATTACTCCCCTACTTGGAACCAGGGAAAACTTGTTTCATTCTGCACTTAACCATTCAATGCTATTACCTAAGGAAAGTTATGAAAGGATCTCAAATCTATACATTAAACTTTCAAAAAGGGAGACAAACGAGTAAATCACAGATTATCATCAATGGAAGATGTTCAAAAGCGGGGCTTACCAGGTCTGTATTTAAAATTATTATAAATGAAAGTAATTTTGCCATTACAAGTAATTTATGTTTTATGTAAATTGGCTTACCAAATCATCTTATAGAATTCCAGTCCAAGTTGGTTGGAGACAAATAGACATTTTCTCCCACTGAAAATTACTGTTTTGTTTTTCCCTCCCGGGCATTGCTTCTTTATCCTTGAATCCTAATATTTATATTGAGTTGCACAATTTTCAATCCTTTCCATAGGCAGAGATTATTCTTAACCACTTAACAGCCCTCTGTGACTCTGAGGACAATAATTAACATCCTCCCTGGAGAGTGTTCCGTGGCTCAGGTGCATGGGCTGCATTCAATTTGGGGGTTCCAGCAGTACCCTAAAACTTGGCCAAGGGGCAGTAACACCCGTAGACTGTGGGCTGATTCTCACTGACCTCTGGGAGGGGGGTTATTGGTATTCCCACTTTTTCATTGAGAAATTTCAATCTTTTTTTTTTTTTGAAGATTTATTTTATTTTTATACAAGAACTGGGGTACAGGCCAGAGGCACGGGAGGGTGAGAGGATTCACCAGAGATAGAGCAGGCAGCAAAACAGGTGGAATGACTGAAATACACGCCTGAGGGGCGCAGCGGGAGACAGGAGAGGTCTGCCGCACCGAGAAATTTCAATCTTTCAATTGAGAAAATTTTTCAGTTGAGAAAGTTAAGCCAAGGGGTGAAATGACTCGTGCAAGTGGGGCAGCAAATCTGGTGCTAACCGGGTGTTTTGGCACCCTTGCCCCATGCACACCTCCTGCTGGGCTAATGGGTCACCCTGCATGCCACGAGCATGTGTGTGATGTGAGTCGGGTAGAGACAACAGCGGCTGCGTGAGACTCCAGGATCTGCAGAGGCATCAGAGGAGGAGGAGGCTAAAAGGCCCCCTGATCTCCAGCTCACGGCTCCACTTTGCTTTTAGGTTCAGTGGGTTGCATTATCACCCAGTGTCCCACACCCATTTTCAGTTTGTCCCATGACATTTCAAGGGCTCCATGAGCTTGGAAGCCGTGGACATCTGTGTCCAGCCCCGGGGCGAGTCTAATTGTTTGGGTTCCTTTGCTCTCTCTGCGCCCACCCAGCACCCGGCCAGCCCATAGCCAGAGACTCTGGACTGCACCTGAAGCCTGGCTGCCGAGTCCAGGTGTGAGGGAGAAAAAGGCAAAGATTCAGGACTTCTCCTGCGCTCTCTGCCCCACAGCAGGCTGAGTGCTGCTCTGGCATGACTCATGCCTCCATCTGAAAACGGGGGAGGCCCAATCTGCGCTGCAGGGTTAGAGAGAGCACCCCCCAGGCACCCCACAGGTGATATTGCCTGAGAAAGGGCTTCAGAAATATTTAGGGCCTCCCTGGTGGTCTAGGGGTTGAGTCTCACGCTGTCACTGCCACGGCCTGAGTTCGATCCCTGGCCAGGGAGCTACCCACATGGCGCAGCAGACCTCTCTTGTCTCCCCACTGCTCCCCTCAGCAGTGTGTTTGGTCAGTCTGCCTGTTCTGTTCTGCTTCCCACTCTGTCTCTGGTGGATCCTCTCACCCCCACACTTCTAGCCTGCACCCCAGCTCTTGTATGCATAAATTAATAATTTTTTTAAAAAAGAGATTTTTTAATTTATTTTTTACACCATTGTTCATTTTTAAACAATATGTTTTCCCCCACCCCCTCAGGTGTAGGCCCCACAGAGTTTCCCTCCCCAAGGCACCCCCGCACCATCACCCCAGTCCCCTGTGCACCTCCCTCCCTCCCTCTCATCCCTCTCCCGCCTCCTACCCTGCTGGATGTCTGTGATTGATGATTGTCTGCTTTCGTTTTGTTGTGTTTTGTACCGTTATTATTATTTTACACTGATGTCTTATTAGGTTCCCCTAAATTCCTGCTATAAGTGAAACCACTCGATATTTTTCTTTTTCCCTCTGGCTTATTTCACTGAGCATAATTCCTTCTAGTTCCATCCACGTTGCTGTGAATGGCATGAATTTATCTTTTTTGAATGCTGAGTAATATTCCATGGTGTATATGTGCCACATCTTCTTGATCCAGTCATCTATTTTGGGGCATCTGGGTTGTTTCCAGGTTTTGCCTATTGTAAATAGTGCTGCAATAAACACAGGGGTACAGGTGTTCTTTTGAATCAATATTTCTGTGTCCTTTGGGTAGATCCCTAGGAGTGGAATTGCCGGAGCGTATGGTAGCTCCATTTTTTAGTAGACTGAGGAGCCTCCAGACAGCTTTTCACAGTGGTTGGACCAGTTTGCACTCCCGCCAGCAGTGCAGGAGGGATTTCCTTTTTCTCCACATCCTCGCTGACATTTGCTACTGCTAGTTTTTTTTGGTATGTGCCATTCTCACTGGTGTAAGGTGGTATCTCAATGTGGTGTTGATTTGCATTTCCCTGATGATAAGGGATGTTGAACATTTTTTCCTGTGCCTGTTGGCCATTTGCATTTCCTCTTTGGAGAAATGTCTTTTGAGTTCTTCTGCCCATTTCTTGACTGGACTGTTTATTTTTGTTGAGTCCTGTGAGTTCTTTGTGTATGTTTGTGGTCAGTTGACTGGAGTGCAAAGACTTTTTCCCAATCGTGGGGTGTCAGAGAGAGATTTGTAAAGCCCATGCACATTTCGGACACGATGACAGCAGCCCGCAGAGGCCTCCATCAGCATAGGCAGCGCTGCATTTTTTCAGTCACAGCAGTGTGGTCACAGGTTGCTCCATAAATAACTCACTGCAATGTCCAGTGCCACATGCTCTCCGATGTGTAGCTGTTGATCAAAACGGGGTGACTCAGAAACAATAATTCCCAAGAAAACCTGCACCCCTATGTTCATTGCAGCACTATTTACAGTAGCCCAGGGGACACCACTGAATGGTTAAGTGCAGAAGGAAACAAGTTTCCCCTGAGAGTCAGCCATTCTGAGCTTTGCCCGCTGGACCACAGGCTTTGGATGGGGTTGATCTTCACCAGCCAAACTCAAGCTCCAGCACTTTCCAAGGTCCAGTTTCCCCACCTCGTAGGTCGCCCCAAAGATTAGAGAAAATAAATGCACAACTGACTAGAAGTGTGTGGCATGTGCTGGTCTCTTACCCCAGCAGAGCTGCTCCTTCTCTCCATCTCTCTTCCAGCTTCTCCTGCTACTGGAAATGGGCGGGTGTTTACGACGCCGTGAAGATACAGTGACTGAGTGAGAGAAGAATGCAACAGCCAGGGGTCAAGAGAAGGCATTTATACCAGCCCCATGTGCTGCTCTCAACCCTACCGCGTTGCCTAAGAGTATGAGGGATTCCTTACTGCTCTGCAGAAATTTACCCCAAATGCCTACTTGAGCCTTTTCCCAAGGCCTTAGGGGACTCATCTCAGCTCTCCACACCCCAGGAGTTACACAGCACCGGCCAGGGAGGGACAGTTCAGGAAGGAAGGAGATCAGGATGAAGCTGTCAGTTTGCATCTGTTTCCTTTCCTGAAAGCATCGCATTTTAAATCTAAAGACCCAGTTGTTGCAAAGTCTTATAGTGAAAAAGATCCAAAGACTGAATCAATTCAGCATCACCTCCCGGGTAACTAACCCAGTAAGTTAATTACAGGATTCTCTGTTGCTCTTTTTTTATTGTGAGTAAGAGTTCTTGATGCAATATTTTTGGTTAATTGAAGATTTTCTTTAAAACTATGCAAGACAGCCAGCAAACAGTGCGTTTATGTATGGAATAGAAATGGTTGTAATATATCATTAAGGCACTCTAGGGCATGTTTTATTGGTTCATTAATACAGTACATGCCTGAGGTGTAGTCAACCACTCGGGGCCTGTATTAATGGGCCAATAAAATGTACCCGGGAGTGCCTTAATGCTACCCTAATATGGCTAAGTTTAAATTAATTTTTTCAGGCTTATCTTTTTAAAAATCATTTTTCCCTACTTGAGAAGACACATTCCCTTACAGGGGAAAAAGTTCATGGTAACAGAATAGGAAGAAGCAGGATAATAAAAGTCTTTTTGTTCCTCCCATTGTCCACGCCTCTAGAGGGGTCTATTTCTAATTCCCCTGCATTCTTCTTCCACTGTCTTCCCCCATCTCCTGTGGAAACCAACACTCGTGGGAATAGGAGCAAGAAAGTAAGAACTGCTCATTTTGAGAAGTAACAGCTCAAGGCATAAGTGTCCTGTCTGCCTATGAGACCTCCAACATTTTCCAGAATTCCACCTGGTCAAAGCAAATGCTTACCTGCTTCCAGCAGCACAACCTCTAATCTCTACCTCTTGTCATCAGTGTGGTCAAGGAACCAGGCGACCCCCAAAAAAGGAAAGAAAGGAAAAGTTCCTTTAACTGCCTGTGTGTACTTCTTGCTCGGTTTTTCAGAAGTTTTGAATTCTACTTTGTACTAATAAGGAAGCTTCTTGATATTGGAGATTTGGGGAAGAGACAGGAGTGTTTCATCCAGCTCCACACTGAATTAAAACCTGGCCTTGCCATTTACTTGTTTTATAACATTAGTCTGAAAGCTCCCATTTCCTTCTCCACAAAAGCAAGGTAGTGATGTCTCTCCCATAGGAACAAAAAGCACGTTCGGCAGGCAAAACCCCTGGGCTACTCTTGGCATGCATGTAGAAATCATGGTAAAAGGGTAGTTTCTGCTATGAACTCCTGAAATGCCACTGAAGAGAGGAAGATGATGGAACTGTTGGAGAGCGTGGGTTTGCCAGGACTGTGCTGACATTTTTCCAGATGAATGAAAAGCAGAGTATGGATCCAGAGAACGAGCAACTAAAATGTCTAAGAATCCAGCGTGTGAAAATCCTTTTATTCCCTATGATCACGGTAGGACGTGACCTTGAAAAGGTGCCTGGGAAACAAGCAGCACAGTCCGGGTCTTCCTTCACCTTGAGACTTTCACTTTCCTAAAATGTATATTTATCTCGACATGTTCATCATCATCATCATCATCATCATCACCATCACCATCATCATCATCATCACCAGCAGCAGCAGCATCATCATCTCTACCACCATCCCACCATCACCACCATCATCTCACCATCAGCACCACCACCATCAGCATCTCCACCACCATCACCAGCATCTCCTCCATCATCAGCATCATCTCCACCACCACGCCATCATCTCCACCACCGCCATCATCACCATCTCCACCACCATCAGCAGCATCATCTCCACCATAATCAGCATCGTCTCCACCATCAGCATCCTCTCCAACGCCATCATCAGCATCCTCTCCACCATCAGCATCCACATCCTCTCCTCCACCACCACCATCGTGAACATCACAAAGAAGTCCTGGTAAAGAGATAAACACTGTCCTTGACTCGGGGGTGGGACTACCACTGCCCTGGTTGAATTACCCACTTAACTGAGCATTTCACCATCTCTGTCAGCACACACGGGCTCGGGAGGAGGGGCAGGAGTTGGTTATAAATACACTTGCTTTTCCCAAAGTGGCCGTGCCTGCCCCCCTTTCTCCAAAGAGAAACGTCTACCCCCATTTGGAAAAAGAGATGCATGGTTCTGAGCAGACCTACTTTCAGGGTGATGGCTTTATACAACACTATGCCCCCCGTTAATTAACTCGAGTACACAGTTCACTCATCTGGAGGCAGGAATAGGGTCTTTTGTTCATTTTTTGCCCGAATGACACCAAAGGAGATGGCCACAAATATCTGATAATTTGTTGGGAAATTTAAGCAACTCTTTCAACAGCTTAAGAAAATAGACACTTGACTGTCCAAATGTCTGCCCCAGCCGAGGGTGAGCAGTTCGGAGCTGGCCCAGTGCTGGGTCCAGAGCTCGTCTTCCTCCCAGCTGCCATGGTGGGTCAGACGGGACACTAGGTGAGGACGGTCTGCCCATCTGAGCTTGCCCGGGGTGCACAAACCCAGAAAGCCAACAGCAGCCAAAACCCATTAAGGAGAGGAGTGAGTAAAAGCTAGAAAGAACAAACTTGGACACAGGAGCCAAACAGCCAGAGGCACATCAAAGCTGGGAAGGACTGCCAAGCGTCTGAGCTGGGATGAGGAAACCCAGAGATAACATAGCGGTCCTGGTGTTGAAAATTTTAAGCAATTGCTCAAAAATAACCTTGGAACCTCAGAGATGGAACTTCATCATCCAGAGAAAAAGAAATCTTCTAGTTTATTGGATGCTCTTTGTCATCTGGTTTTGTATTTATTTCTGTTATCCATTCTATTTTTAAAGGCACCTCAATGATGGTTAATGTTCATCTCAAAAATTCACCCCAAAGACACATTTTTAATATTTAGATTCTCTGTATAGGTTTTAGTGTATAAGTTAAGTTTTTCCCTACCTATGTGATATAAATGTAAGAAACAACATACCATCTAGAGATGTGGAAGCTGGCAACATAATTTAGGGATCCTTGTTCAACCAGAAAACAGAAGAGTCCTGTCATTTTTTTTTTTAAAGTTTTATTTTTTTATTTATACAAGAACCGGGGTACAGGTCAGATGTGCCGGAGGGTGAGAGGATTCACCAGAGACAGAGTGGGGAACAGAACAGGCAGACTGACCAAAAGCACTGCTGAGGGGAGCAGCGGGCGAGACGGGAGAGGTCTGCTGCGCCATGTGGGTTGCTCCGCGGCAGCCAGGGATCAAACCAGCACTGCAGAGGCTGTGGACAGCTTCACAGTGCGGCGCCCAGCTGCCTGTGCCACCAAGGAAGCCACAGTCCTGTCGTTCTTGATTAAAACAATCAGAGGGGAAGATGGGAATTTTATCGATTTCCCCTACATGGCTCAAACTTATCTATCAAATAAGAAACTTCAGGTAGATGCCAGTTTTGCAAATAACTGTTTAAAACTCTTATCACAGAACCTGAAATTCCCCCCACCTCCGGGGAAAGCAACTTGGCAACTCACACTATGAACTTGAACGAACCCTGCCTTGGACAACCGTGAATAAGTGCAAATATTTACCTACAAGGATGTTGATCTGATCACTGTAGTAACAGCAAAAACAGTAACAATCCAAAGATACAAAAAAGAGTGAGATTAAGTAAATGCTGAGAAAGCTGGATGGTGAAACTCATCAGCCCACACAAATCATATTGTAGATAACCTTCTCATAAGACAGAACAATAAAATACAAAGTCAGCAAAACAAGCAACTGCCAACCAGTACCAATGAAAGAGAAAGCAAGAGAGACCACGTTGATGCGGAGATCCAAATTCTTTATCTCCTACTGTCCTGGGAATACGGTCAAGTCCCTTCACGTGATGGGGAGAGGGGATGCCGTAGGGTTTATCCCCCACCGTTGCAATCTTCTTTGCCACTTTCCATCTTGCTCATTCCTCAGTGATCTACTCCCAGAACACACAGACCCCGCCCAACCTCCATCTGCCTACTGGGGATGAAGTCATCCATCTAGAATGTTCTCCCGATCACCACCGCCATCCCTTCACCTGGCTCCCCTTCAGCCCACATATTAATAAGAGATTGATAAACAGATGGAATGATGACTAGGATATACTTTCCTCTCTATCGTTTAAAGTTTCTACGGCAAGCGCAACTTGTGTAATAGGAAAGAAAAAACCTCAATTATAAAAATAAGTCTAAAGCATTTAAAGGTTTGGGGTGTACTCAAACGATTCTAGTTACATAAACACTCCATTCTGCTTGCTGGTGCTAACTAGATCCCGACTTTAAAATCAGAATCGATTATCTCTGCTCCGTATTTTCAACTGGATTTTGACTTCTTTTCCTCTGTTCTCTTCAAAGTTAAAACATAAATACCAAGCAGGATGCCTGGGCGTGGATGGTGGAAGGAATTTTGCCTTAAGTTAAGAAGCTACTTCTCCGGCACTAAGTACTAGAATAGGAATTCCACAGGTCAGTTGGAGAGCGGACAAGCTCGCATGGGGGCAGGGGTCCTGGGAATGCGGGAGCCGATGCTATCTCTCCCAGCTTTGACCTATGTAACAAAGAATTTGGTCTCCACCATTCAGCCAATTTGAAATTGAATTGCCAACCTAAGTCATGATCCACAGTCTTAATGCATGATTCCTTTTTGATGAGAACACAGCCTTAAGTTTGTACTTGTTTTACTTTAGTTCTTTTTTCTTAAGTTGCTTCTCTGTTTTTAAGCACATAAAATGTATTTCAACACTTAACAACACAAGGAGTATAATCAAGAGCTCCAAAATATTCCAGTTCAGTTTCCCTTTTGAAGTCACCCCCAAGCGTTGCTACACAGGCCTGCATGGTAGCTTAATGGCATGTTATAAAAACCCTTTTCAACATTAAACAGGAAAGTAAACCTGCCAGATTTACTCAAAATATGAAATTAATTTCCTGCCACGGTCTCACTGCCAAAATAATTCCAACCAATGCTGGAGGTTTGTAAGTTGAATCTCTTCCTAAGAATTGGAAGGTAAGTGCCGCACTCCTAATTAAACCTCCAGTTACTGTTTCTCCATGAGAGAAAGAACAAATAGAGTTTCTCCTCCACTTGAACAGCTCAAGATGTGGGTAAGGTTCTTGGTACAATTTTAAATTCATTATTACTAACCTGGCAGAAAAAAAAGGTTTCATCATCAGATTCAATATTAATAAAATCAAATATAACTGCATTCTTGTAAGTATTGTCTTGCCTTTCCTCTAATCTATCCAAATTCAGTGCTTCTGGTGGAACTACTTGAGTTCACATTAGATTTATCTCACCCTATAAAAGCACAATTCATTAAACCGACTAGTCTATTTAAACGAAGGCAATTTTATCACAGTCAATTCAATTATTTAACACTGCTTTTTTAACTCACTACTTAAAGCTTTCTTTTGACAAGTAGTCCTTTAAACAAATGAGTTGTAATTTAAAGAATGAAAAAAGATCAAGTCTCCTTACAATATATGCAATTAGCCTATAGGAGATGTTTTTCTGATGCAAAACTAAGTTTTACTTGCAAGTTCGGCTGAATCACAGGTTACACCAGCCCGTGCTATTTTTCGGCAGAAACAGACATAAGGGAAATTTCTGTGGGCAATTTACTCTCCCATGTTGCTTATACGCTTATGGAAGGGGGTGACTTTTGGGTCGAGCAGCCAGAATTCAAGAATCTGAGCGATGATCTCAAAAAAATTTCCCCCAAAGATAACATAGCCCTAAGCGTGTAAAATAGACCCCGAAAAACGACCTGGAGAGGAAGGACTACATGGGATGGTCCAGAAAGGACGCTGAGTTTTTTCCACAATTTTCCTGGGGAGATTTTTTTGTTTAAAGTTATTATGA